ACCACTGAGCCACGCCCCCAGCCCCTCACTGGGGGATTCTAGGCAGGGGCTCTACCACTGAGCCACGCCCCCAGCCCCTCACTGGTGTTTATCCTAGGGAGATGCTCTACTCCTGAGCCAGGACCCAACCCAAGAGGTGGATTCTTTCCAGTCTGCCATGATTTTAGTCCTATTCCAACATTGAAGCTATCCATCTAGCTACACAGAACTTGCTCTTTCTTGAACCGCCCCCTCTTCACTTTGTATACCATCCACTTCTGAGGAGCTGGCTCTTTTCACATGGGCTCGCTTTGCTGCTGAGCTCCTCAGGACTAGCCTACTGCTGGCATCAGGGCACAAGTGCCCTTTTGTTCTGGCGAGCAAAACATCCTTTAAAGATGGGGAAACTGAGGTCAAGAGGTTAATGGACCACCATGCTGAGTGAGACTGTAAGGTTTTGTTTTTTTGGTTTTGTTTTGAGACAGTCTCACTATGTAGCCCAGCTCGCCCTCCTGATCAGCCTGCCTAGTGTCAGGTGGAACCAGGGTGCCTTCAGGTGGTACATCTGAAGCTCTCCCCTCAGTTGCATTATTCCCCCTCTTCGCCTCTTTGAACACGGTCCCTAAGTCAACTCTTGCGCGAAGCCTTCCAGATCCCAGCCCCGCCCCCTTACAGTCCCAAGCATCTGTCTCCTAATATGGAACATTCACATAAGCAATACGCGGTTGAAACAGAAACTGGAACACACATACGCGCCTGGGGCTGAAGTGCGTGTGAGTGAAATCTATCTCCAAGGCTCAAGTCAGCTGAAGGTGGTCTAGGTGGGGAAGACGAGGTTCCGAAGACTACTCCGCCCGCCCGCTCCCCAGTTTTTGCGCCTCACTGTTGCCTGAGAACCGGGAGACCACGATTGCGGGCACCGCCCCCAGCCTCCCCCCACCCCCTCCGTTTTCCCCGGCGCTCCGGGCCCCGCCTTCCTGCGCCCGCCGCTACGCCGGCCCCTTTTGTTCGCTCTCCGGCCGCTGAGCTCTCCTGGCGCTCGGCATCTCTCGGCTGGGCTCGGCTCGCCTTGGCAGGGCTCCACGGGGCTCCGCTCCGCTCGGCTTTTCTCGCCTCCGCCCCGTTGGGCTCGGATCTTCCCGGCTCGGCCCCGCTCGGCTCGGCTCCGCTCGGCTCGACTCGGCTCGGCTCCGCCTCGGGGCGCGCAGGCAGCGGCCGGGCTTACGGGATCGGCCCCTCCCTCTATCCCCTTCTGGCCGTAGATCCTGTGCGAGGCCCCGACTCGGAGCGGGGAGACCGGGTTAGGGTAGCGGCGTGAAGGGACCCGCACAGCATCCTTGTTTTCGGGACGCGCGGACCAAGAGGAGGAGAGGGGTGTCGGGTCCTAGTCGCTGCTGGAGCTCCAAGGTAGGCGCCGCTCTGGGGACGCGCGCGATGGGGGCGCGCGGGCAACAAAGGACGCAGAGTCGCGGGGGGCGGCGGCACCCTATCCTGGAAAGAAAAGGGGGTGCTATCACCAAGCCATTGTCGCAGCGTGGACAAGGACAGCGGGCAGGGTCGCCGCCGCTGGTGGGCGTGGGCGGGGTGAACCCCAACTTCCTTAACCCAGACCGCTGCCGGGGTTGGGGGCGCCCCTGGATTGCACGTCCAGATGGTGCGCACATCCATAGACTGGGATTCGGGTGTGTTTGTTGGCGTCCTCTTTCCAAGAGCGGGTCCAGGAAGCTGGGCAAGCTGCAGAGCTCTTGGGGAAGGCTCACTCAGGCTCTGTGGGGGCACACACAGCCTGGTGGGCGCGGCCATCAACCCTCATCTTCAGACCTGGCATCTGGGATGAGACACGGAGGCCCCCGCCCCGCCACCTGGGGTCGCCTGGTTGGTGCCCTTAGCAAAACTTGGAGAGCCTAGCTTGGAAGAGGATGGGGTAAGGGGGAGGCCCAGGCAGGGTGGCTTTCCGCAGGGGTGCCCCCCCAAGCTGGCGCTGGTGGCTGGTGAGGCAGCAGATTTTTTTCCCTCCCCCCAGGGAGGGGCAGTGGCGGCGCAGGATGCAGGGCTGAGCCTCCAGGGCTAGCCCGCGTGGACTCCTCAGGCGGGGCCTGTGTGTTTGTCCCGGACTCGTTGGGCTTGCCACGCTTGCCTCCTCTGGAGCCTGACTCAAGCCTGGAAAGGTCGTTGCAGGGGAACACCTTAGGGATAGAGGAATCACAACCCAGGAATGCATGCACCCAGCCTCTGAGATCCCGCTGCTATCTTCTGAACTACAAACGGGCAGGGGGCTGGAGGGTTGTGGAACTAGGCAGGCAATTGGCCTTAATCTTGAAGGGTGCCCAGGCAGAGGACGGTGGGGGTGGGGCTGGCCGAGGACTGTGCTCTGAGGAGGAGGTAGAGAGCACCACGTGGGTCCACTTTACCTTTGCGGTGAGCCAGCGGGCTCCTCCCCATCAGTTGTAATGTAAACAATGAGTCCTTCATTCATAAGGTCGCTGTCACCTGGATTGGCACCACCAGGGGATGGCAGGTACACAGAACCGGAGGAACTGAGTTACTCTGCACAGCACAGGACAGCCTAACATGATGCCCGGCAAGGGGAGAAGCTAGAAGCCCCCAAGCGGCACAGCTGGAGGGTGGGGCAGACCCTGAGACCAGACCCAAGGGTGCTTTTTACCTAGGTGATGGCCCCCATAAGAGCTTCCGGACAAGAGCCATTCTGGCTTAGATGGGCAGAGAAAGATTTAGGTTACTGGGGCGTGAAGTTCAAGGCAGAACCTGTTTGCCAGTTCCTTCCTGCGTACACTAGGTGCCCACTTAGCACAGGACCCATGGGTTTCAGCTGTGCTTAAAAGGGTAGTATGTGGGAGCGGCGGCTCCGGGATGAGGAGGTTAGGAATAGAGGAGTCCCGACAGCAGAAGAGCCTTGGAGGAGTGCACACAGGTACACATTCTTCTAACCCAGGCGCTCAGGTAGGAAGCCAGAACACACATCCCAAGGAGCAGGAGTTGAGATGTTGGAGTTTGGCATGATGGGTTCAGATCCTTGCTCTGCTACTTGAATCGCTGTGTGGCTTTGGACAAGATATCGTACCTTGCTGTCTCTGTTTCTCTCAGTAAAATAGGAGTACTTAGGGGGTTTGCCTCTTAGGGCTTTTGAGAAAACCATGTGCCCTAGGGCAGAGTTTTTGTGATTTTACTTACTTGGGGAATTGAACCTAAGACCTCAATGGCTTCTCTGGCTGAACCATGCCCCTATCCTCTTACTGGGGGCATTCTAGGCAGGAGCTCTCCCACTGAGCCACGCCCCCAGCCCCTCACTGGGGGATTCTAGGCAGG